GTCAGAGCCTAGAATTTTCTCACCATTTAAGACCCTGTTCCTGCCCTTTGATTTGGCTTCCTTGGCTTTGAAACGCCCCTGTCTTTGAGAACTTTGGCTTGAATTCAGTACTTGCATGTTTTCCACTCTAGACCTCCTCAGACAGTATACCCTTACTCTACAAGTGACTTTCACTTTTTAGCACTATAGAAACTTGTGCAGAAACTTGTGCCTAAGGCCATGAAAGAGAATCTTGGACCCGTAACCATAAATGCTAATATACTCATTTATTTAATGAATCATTATTGTGTGCCAGCTATGTTTCTGGCACTTAGCTAGGGCTTGGGGATAATGTGATTTAAAAAAGGGCAAGCTCCTTGTCCTTTTTTTTTTTAAAACAGTTTTTATTGGTACATTTAGGTATACAATATAATGGCATTCATCATTGGAAATTTGTACCTTTACATAATATATCTTGGTTCTTATTTTTCCCCATTCCTCTGACCTCCCTTCAACCCCTCCACCCCTCCCTATTTATGAAGACTTTGTTTCCATTTTTTCCTTTTCTCATATTAATTCCATTTCTTTCTTTCCTTTCCCCAAACCCTCCCACTTCCTCTTCCCCTTTGTACCTTTTCTTCCTATTTCACATTATCTATAATACCTTTTGATCCATCTTTACACTTTGTTTCTCACACCAGAGAAACTATTTGGTATTTACGTGTCTGTCCTATTTATTTCACTTAAGAGTATTGCCTCAATGTGCATCCATTTAGCTATAAATGTCTCTAGTTTCTCATTCTTTATGGGTGAGTAGTACTCAATTTTTTTAAAGGAAAACACATTTTCTGTATCCAATCTCCAGTTGATGGGCAATTGGACTGTTTCCAAGATTTAGCTATTACAAATTGTTCTGCTATAGACATGGGTGCACATATATCCATGCCAATACTCTTACAAATCTTACTTCATTGCAACATCAACCAAAAAGTACAAGAGTCTACTATAAGTATCCTGTAAATCAGATAAGAGTGAGATGCAAGATGAGATTCAATCAGAGGCAAAATGCTATGAACCTATGAAATCAAACAGGTTATTCACTTTCCAAATACAATTGGTGGCACAGACGTAAGACAGCTGTTCTCATTCCAAAATGGAGAGCTAGGGAAGAAAAAAGAAGTAACAGGGCCCAAGTGAGACCTGAACTTTAGCTCTTGAGGATAATCTTTTGCAGAATCCTTGTCCTTAAGGAGACTATACTTCATGAAGGACACAAATAAAATATAAAGGTCATTACGTGATGGGATAATTGCTATATCATGTGAAGTAGTACATTCTATGAAGCATGAAACAGGGCTCCTAAGTGGATCATGGAAGTCTTCCAAAAATGTGATGCAGACAAGAGATAAGGAAAAGGGGGCAAATCTCCTATATCTGAATTTAAAATTTTCTTTGAATTAAAAACTTTCTCTTGTTCAATCATGAAGTATGGTTTCTTGATGTATAGGGATTGCTGAAACAGCATTTAGAATGGGAGCTACTTACACTGTAATGTCTAAGAGACACTAACATAAAAAGTTTGATTACTTTTTAAGGATTAGAAAAAAAAGTTATGAAAAAAGATTAGAAAAAAGATTAGAAATGCAAAAAGATTAGAAAAAATTATGGATTAGAAAATAAATGTGTTTCTTTCACAGAACTGTAGTGCACTTCCAGGTAGAATCAATTGCTCCTTCTTTCTATTCCCTAGCCTTTGTTTCCACACTACATGTGGAGAAGCCCTATTAGCCTCTCCTCCTCTGAAAAAAATTAATCATTCTACCTTCGAACCTCAGACGTCTGTGTAGTACCTAAACTTTATAGGCAATTTTAAAAAGTCTGTGGATTAAATTGATTTTAATTTTATTTTTAGGTTCAATCATTTGATTACTTTATCCTTAAAGCGCTATGTTAGTCTTCAGAAAGTTTAGCTTTAGTTTACATTTCTTATTTTTCAGTAAAAGAATGAGGTAGTTGTGGTAAAGGCATTTATCATGAAAGGTGAAATGTGATGTGAAACTCGTTTCCCGTTGAATAATTCATAACCCCCCTGCTCCTAAACCACTGTGAACTCCTCTAAGGTGGAGATAGTGGACACACAATTAATTAGGCCTGGATCACGAACAGAAACTGGACAACAAATGAAGAGATGCCTGTGCTCACCTTCACTATGCCTTCCTGTGGGTATATAGTCCTTGCTTTAACGTATTAATGCTAAAGACTTTATTTGGTTTGAATTTTTTAATTTTCCAATTTTCAAGTATATATCAGGCATTAGCTAACTCCTCATGTGGACTATTCTCTAAGTCTTTTCAGATGATAAATAAATGGCATGTCCATTGCAACAACCTGTTTGGGGCTCTATTTTAAATAATTTATATCTCATACATCCAGATATTCCCCACAGTAGACAGGTCTCACTATCACTTGCATATTACACAATAACCTTATTAGCCCAGACAAAACAAGATCCATTAATAGTTAGGAAAAGATTTATTACATTAGACTAAGGTTTGGAGTAGTGATGGGAAGTTAGGGCTTCCAGAGATCAAATTAGCTTTGCTTGTGATCTTGGAGGAAAACAAAAAAGATATTCATTTAGCTCCGGTTTTAAACTAGCACAACAACATTTTTTACACCAATATTTCTGGTAAACCTACTAATACTTTTGAGCATCTCTACCTTACTAGATGCTCCCAGGAATAAAAAATAAGAACAAAGTTGTTTTCTTAGTCTCTATTTCCCTTTCTGTGGGGAGCGGTGTCCGCCAAAAAGCTTCATTTTAATTTTACCCTTTGTTATAAATAGCCAGGAGACTATGTAATGGGGAACCGTGTCTCCACTACCTCCGATGTTTCCCTTTAGAGTTTGCCCTAGCAACAAGGTGAACCTTCTGTAACCCCAGGAAACAAAGTAGCCCTTGAGGGCGAGGAATGTTCAGAAAACTAGTAAACAAGGAAGCAGGTGTTTTTGGATAAAGGTCATGGTTAATGACCTTACTCACTGAATGTATAAAAGAGAGGTGGAAATAAACTTGCTCGCTCGATCTTGGGAGCCCTCCCGACTCTGTCTCTTCTCTTGATTTTTCTCAGTCCTCCTTTCCCCCATTCAGGAACTGTTCGACTGGTGACGGCTGGTCCGTCACACCTTTCCATTTATTAAAGGAAAAATTATTTTATAATATCCAAACAGAGAAACATGTGTCAAATATAACTTTTGCTAGAACTTATTTAAATAACCATTGCCAGGTTTTACAGTTCAAGTTCAATGAATTTTATACCATTTTACTTCATTTAATTTAGACTTCTAATATTAGAATCATATTTTATACTATCATTAATTAAATCATTAATATTTTTAAAGATCTTGTCTTTTTTTCAAAATGAGGTATATTACATAAAATGTTATATAAATAATTTTTTTTAAAACAAGTAAAAATGTTTATCTTTGGAATTTTGATAGTAAATGCATTACCAAGACAATTTAGGTAATAATTTGCATACATTCTCCTTCTGATTTGACTCATACTTTTTTAAAATAAATTTTTAAAAAATGATGGTCTTTTAGGTCTTGAGTCAAGTGACTTATTAGAAATACTAAGGATGAAGATCATCAGTCTAGAAGTTGGGAATGCATTGTTAAAATATAACACTTAATAAGCCACTCTAGAATTTTACTGGATTCAAGTCCCAGTCTAGAATTTACATTCCTACAAACTTACAAAAAGTTAGATATGCTATAAATTGGAAATACATTCATTCACATAACCTACTAAATATCATAGCTTAGTAACACAATATACTTTAGAGTATAGATTTTTTTATCCTCATGATTGCCTGGTTGACTGGAAGCTATGGTTTGCTGATTCTCCCAGCATGTCAAGAGAGTATCATAATATGTATAATTAGCATAGGAAAATATCAAAATTCAAAGTATGTTTTCTATTAAGGGAATGCCACTTTTATGCTACAGTAAATTGGAAACACACATGGAGTAGTTAGCATTCTCTTGAGATGATACTGCATTTAAGCACAGATGTGAATAAAGTCAGAGAATGAATACTGGGAAATCAAGTAGGAAAAGAATTACAGGAGTATGAGCAATAGAGTAAGAACCATGAGGCAGAACCAAGCTAAAGGATTCAAGAGCAAACAGAAGGGTCACGTGGTAAAATAAAGTGAGAGGTAGTTTTTGGAGATGAAGTAGTCAAATAATTTTGGGTTAATAATAGATAATATTTAACGACAACATAAATGATGGACTATCAAGGTAAAAATACTTTCAGAAGTATAAAATATTATGGAAATCAGGAACATATTTGGATACACTTATTAATAAGATTATATGATGTAGAGTAAAAGGATATTTTGATTGCTCTTAATTGAAAAGAAAAGTAAGTAAACTATTTCTCTGAGAAACTCCAAAAAGATACCAAAAATTGGGGCCAGACACTGTCCCACCCTCTAAGAATATGCACACTGCTCTATAATGTGAAACTCTCATAGCACCCAGTGTCTAGCTCCCAATATGCATAGAGGAGTAGTGTAACTCAGCACACTCCTGAGTAGCACCATGTTTGCAGGCAAAGGTCACTCTTCTTTCCAAAGAAAATCATATTTTTTCCTCCTGAAATCAAATAATGGATCCCCATTGGGAGAATCATAAAGATTATAAATATGTGTGTCTCCAAGAATGGAAATTGGCAACTTGTTCCTCAACTGGCTCGGTGATAATCTACTGAAGCCACCGTTCCACCTGGAGCCGCTGTGGTAGAGCAGTGTAGTAACTGTCTTCTTAGGGGAGTTGGGTATTTTCTGCCTGCACCTTAGGAGACACTTTTAGATCAAAGACAGCTGCACACTTCTAATCTTGAGATTTTTAAAGGACAAGAATTTGCTGGAGTAGCTCATGCTAACAGAGGAATAAGGGACTGTGGCCTACAGTTGGGTCCTGAGAGGGAATTTCCCCTCATTGCCTTCCAGAGTTCTGTGGCTCTTGGAGATAGAAGACACAGAAGATAATCTCAATGATTACCAAGCTGTATTTAAAGCATCAAGGAGGTAAGGAAAGGGGCTGGATAATGAGAGGACACTCCAGTTGGAAAGGGAGTTAGGGGCATGGATTGGTATCAGTGCCCAAGTAGCTGTGGTTTTTCCTGCTGAAGAGTACTCAGTGAATGATGTGGCCAGGATAATGATGAATATAATATATGAAAGACCAAGCACATCATTGGCGTGAGTTCTCAATGCCAGCATCTGCTGTCATTAGAAACTGGATTGAACCAAAGACCCAGGTCACACAGCCACACAGACACAGAGCTGATTATGTCTGCACTCCACCACAATCCATTCCTCTCTCTGAACCCAAAACTGAGAGTGCAGCAATGAGGAGGGGAATTTCAACTTCTTTACTCCAAGCAGCCAGCATCAGACTTAATGTTGAGAGAAAAGGAAGGTAATCATATTTATGTCAGCTTTGTAATGAAAGTTTTAATTTGGACAAATGAAGTTCCAATAACAAATTAACAGGAAGTTATGGTGAGTATCAAATTTCTTTAAGGAATACAAGAATGAGATTTGACACACAATTGTTGGAAGCCTTAAGGATAATAGAAAGTATAACTATTTTCCATTTTTTTACTTTTATAAGAAATTTAATAGCTAAGAACCATAATATGTAGTAAAAACTACAACTTAAACTAATTTTAAAGTGTCCTACTAAAAAATGAAATAAAATTTAGTTTCTTTTGGGACAATTAAAGTAAGTATTACATTTTGAGAACTTGGCATTACAAAGAATGAAAACCAAATATAGGATTATTGCTCTATAATTGTTCTATTTTGCTCCTTCATTCTGAAAATGCTGTTTTTCAGAGGATGACAGCTGACCATTCAAATTCATACTAAAACCTACGTCCTTACTTGACAGAGGCTTTAGAGACTATGATGCCAGCAGGCTGATCTACATTGTCCACTGTTAAATATGAACATTTTCCCAGGACTACTTTCAAGTCACAGCTTATTTATCTTCCTCCTTAAGGTACCATAGGCTTGTTTTCAATATTTTCCTCACTTGTCATAAACTATAGGATTTGCTAAGAGTACAGGTACTCTGGTTAATGATCAAAATGGTGTGGACAGAGGAAAAGCATTGTTAAATATGAATACAGTCCTCACCACCACAAAATGCAACCATTTTTTCATAATAAAAAAGCTAGTCCAAAAAAGGGGCTCATTCAATAAAGATCAAGATTCCAAATCACAATTAAAGAAAAGAGTAATTTACTGATTTTGTTTTTTGCTATGTGACTTAAAGATACTTTACTGAAAATTGGTACCTGACACACCACAATGAAATTTGCAGGATATAATATTGTCCAGACACTACTGAGGTTAACTGTTAAAGACTGGTGAACTCTTTTCATATGAAATGCTTACATCTTAATTATGTATACAGAACATTGGTTCAACAACATAAAAATAGAGAACAGCATCTGGAAATTTATCTCATTCACTGTTCAGAGATTAAAAAGATTAACCATGCTTACCATTATTTTCTGCAAGTGAGTTCTTGTTCATGAAGAAATCTGCTGGTAATCAAATTCTGGCATTTCCCCAAGATACTGTATGAAAAGGATGCTGAGGCCATCACTACACACCACTCTGCAAAATAAGGACTCATTGGTTCACCAATTCTAGCATGCTTCCAAAATATTCCCAATAGTTCAGTTTTATTTTGCCCGGGAGGCTGGGTGTCAGGGATTGTATATAAGCACAGGTACATATAAGCAGCAAGGTTACAGTCAACACACTTTGAAAATTAAAGGTGCTGATGGGAAGGCCAGCATTGGCCAGGGCAGAAGCAGCACACATGCTCTCCCTCCCCTTCTCTCTCCATTTTCTGTTATATTCTTGGTGATCTAACCTACACAAATAACCAAAAAACTGAAACACAATACTACAACCCACAACAAATTTACTAAGAAGTCACAAATCAATTTAAAATCATAATTTCATAGGATTTTATTTTATTTAAATTTCATCTAGTTTCTCAGTTTTGACAAACTATGGATTCTTTCAGCCATGCTTTTCTCTTATTTAACCCTAAGGCCTTTGCCAGGTTTAAGAACTCCTTTTATCACCTAGACCTATTCTGTTCCTATAAATTTCTTTTGAGAGAACTAATATTTTTAGAAATTCACCTGAGAAACATTGTATCCCTATCTTATTTGAGTTGTACCTTTAGATCCAGCAGTAGAAGTGTACATGTATGACTACATAAAAAATATCTCCTTTGAAAATCTTTCACCAACTTCAAATTCAGAGTTATTCTTGTAGGTTATTTAGAATTTATTATAAGAAGTAATTATTAGTAAAAATACTTGCTGATAGTACTCAGTGCATTGCTAAGTGTTATATGTATATGCAAAATTTCTTCATGAACTTAGTGGCAGAAAAAATATTTTCTTAATGTCTTTCTTTCTTTTTAATAATGAGAGTTTTATAATTTTGTTATATGCCAGAAAGTTCAAAACCAAATTTACATTTTTATCAGTTGTCTTAAACAAAATGAAGAACATATTTGCATTTTACTTTTTCTTGAATGTGATCACTACTTTATTAATTTATTATATACTTCAGAGAAGTGTTTATTTGTAAAGATAATACAGATAAATAAATTTAGGTCATGTCCCAGGAAGAGTCTGTTCATGAGATTGCAAGTTAATCCCCTGACATGAAATTGATTAATCATAGGAGAGTTTGTTGGACTAATTCCAAAAATCCTGAGAATTAAAATGGGTTCAAAAGTGTTATGTTCATCAGCCACTGGTTTAATAACATTAAGGAGTCTGTATTGTATTCTCCTATACACTGTAAAATAAAAGGATTGTTTTAGCATTATTACTGTTAGTTAATTCTAAAAACCTTATCTCTGGTTTTTATTCTGTGTATCATTATATTTTGTTAAGCCCAGCAGATCTTAACATTAATGACCAGAGAAATGATCTCTGTTATTATGAAGACATATATAGCAATTGCAGAATGTCTTATAGAGGAACAGAGAAAACAAATCACGTTTTAACTAAAAACATAAAACAAAGAAAGGGGGAGCAATAACAGTAGTGACAGCTTGCTCTCCAGCACCAGGTTTATTTTTAATTTAAAAAATTTTTTATGGATCTGAGGATTGAACCCAGGGCTTCTACTTGCTAGGCAAGCACTCTACCACTGAGGTACTTCCCACCTCCTAACAAAGGGAAGGTTTTCATGCCTTCCTCCTGAGACACAAAGAAAGGTTAATTAGTTGTATTGATGCTCTCTATTTTCTCAGCCTAAACAAATTAAGATATGTGGATACCTTCAAAACTATACATGATGGAAGGAGATGGATCCACAAATGACAACATCCACATTTACTCAGATAACTAATTCATTTACTAATTTAACAACATTGTTTAGTCTGTACTGTCCATTTTCATAAACTAACCAATAAAAGCATTGCTTTAATATTAGCAAGATTTAACCCAGGTATAACTTTGAGGGATTCCATAAATCAGACAGGTCATTACAGACAGCCAAGCACAAAAGAACTTGAAATAAGCTAGGGGATGTTTAAGCAGTAATAAAAGTCATCTGCAACTAGCCACACTGGCATTGTACTTCTGTAGTTTGAGTCATCAGATGTTCATTGCTGTAAAATTGTTAAGTGTTGGAAGGACCACAAAATAATTTGCTGGCTGATAAAAATGCCTGTGGTCAAGTTGCTATTTCACTTGTTATGTAATGTAACATAACTACTGTGGGTTGCCAAGAGACTCAAATTCACAAATACATTCTTGAGGCTGCTTCTGCTATTACACAGAATGGTACAAACAGTTGATTCATGCCTGAAGAGGAGAGTAACCCTGGAAACATTTTCTTCACATTATGGTTTAGAACAAAAAGATTGTAAAAATGACCACCAAAATGGAAATAAGATATATAAATATTTGAAGAAAGACCTTTTCTCTAAGATGCATTATTTTCCTCGGAGAGATCGGAATTTTGAAATGATTGGCTTTGATTTTTTACCCTTATAGCTCCAAGAATAATTTCAATGAAATGCCTAAATACATGAAATGTTCCACTAGTAGATAATTTATGGTTAATTTCCCCCTTTTTCCTATCATTTTAAAAATTTTCTACTAAAATGTCATAAAATTTGTTAATGTACACTGTAGTGACTTTTCAGGACCCTGAATGAAGGCCATTAAAATAGAAAGGACAGACATATTTATTATCAAATTTTAATGTGCTTCAATCGTCTTTATTTAAATACCCTTAATTTCTGTTTTTCTGGTTATCTAGAAGAAATATCCTATCCTTATAGGATTCTTAAAAAAATCCAAAAAAGCAGTCACATACTAGTCTATGTATACAAAACTTTAGGGATATATAAATAATTTATTTAATTCAGAATCTTTATTTTGTGAAAGAAAAAACAAAAGTCATGAGATTTTCTTAAAATGAGTCCGGCAAGTTTTGTTCCAAAGTTTTACTGAAGAAGAATCTGTTTTCCTTTAAGAGTAAAATCATAATTTGCATTTTAGTAGAACATGAATATCAATAAAATACAGCAATATTAAGCCACTGTAATATTTCATTTGGAAATACTTTATTTTTAAAAGAATGTATAAAAGCAACTTAATTTCAAAATCCAGAAGTTTTACTATGTTAATGTTACCTCTTTATTTTTGGCTAAATTGTACTTCCCAAGTAAGTAGAGAGAAATCTTATATTGTTTACTGAATAACTTTAAGTAAACAAATGTTCATGCTACCCATCAGTGTTAAGTGATCTATTAACTCTAATATAAACCTTATATCTCTCTAGCCTCAAGTACAGCCTGGGGTTTCAGACACTGCTAAGAATAATTCCAATTATTGGCAGCCTAATCTCACACTTCATCATAAATCTCAACTTCTTCACCTATTCAGGTGACTCAGAGGCTAAATTAATATGTAGTGGAATTAAACAGGATTTATTTATTTTCTTTATGGTGATTTTTTAAAGGGATGATCATACATATACTCCTCCTCTCCTTTCCACATATATATTTATAAACCCATATATTCTAGTGACAGGATTCTTGTCTGTTAAGAATTCACAGTTTACAAAAGGGACACAAATAAAAATTTTGGTAAAATGGGTAAATGTTATGATATCATGAAAACATACATTAGAAGCACTTAATCTTTTTTTTTTTTTTTTTTTTTTTTC